CACACAGTCAGACACATACACAGACAAACACAGTCAGACACAAAACACACACACAGTCAGACACACACACACACAGTCAGACACACACACACACACAGTCAGACACAAACACACACACAGTCAGACACAAACACACACACAGTCAGACACAAACACACACACACAGTCAGACACACACACAGACACACACACAGTCAGACACACACAGACACAAACACAGTCAGACACAAACACACACCTCAGTCACAAACACACACACAGTCAGACATAAACACACACACACACAGTCAGACACAAACACACAGTCAGACACACACAATCAGACACAAACACACAGTCAGACACATACACAGACACAAACACACACCACACACACAGTCAGACACAAACACACACACAGTCAGGACACATACACAGACAAACACACACTCCACAAACACACTAGTCAGGATGACACAAACACACATTGAAGAAGTCAGACACATACACACAGACACAAACACACACCTTCACAAAACACACACACAGTCAGACACAAACACACACACAGTCAGACACATACACAGACACACAAACACACACAGTCAGACACACAAACACACACACAGTCAGACACATACACAGACACAAACACACACTCACAAACACACACAGTCAGACACAAACACACACACAGTCAGACACAGACACAAACACACACTCACAAACACACACACAGTCAGACACAAACACACACACAGTCAGACACAGACACAAACACACACTCACAAACACACACAGACATTAACTTTTTTTTTTTAATTTAAATCCCCCCCCAACCTCCTTACCTTTGGGAGTGCTGGGGGGGGGGCGGGGGGTCTCTCTCCCTGGTGGTCCAGTGGCTGCAGGGCGGGCGGCCGGCCGGCCGGCGAGGGAGCACTTCCCATGAGCTGACTGCTCAGCTCCCTCGCGCACCGCAAAGTAAGGCTGGGAGCCGGAAGATGACGTCATCTTCCGGTTCCCAGCCTCACTCTGCAGCCGACGCGCGAGGGAGCTGAGCAGTCAGCTCATGGGAAGTGCTCCCTCGCCGGCCGCCCGGGAGGTCAGTTAGCCGCAAGGCTAACAAGGCATCTGCCCTGGGCATTTGGGGGGCGGCGTTTTTTGCCGCCCCCTGAAAAATGCCGCCCAAGGCAAATGCCTTGTTTGCCTCGCGGCTAATACGTCCCTGAGTGCATTGTTAAAAGAAATCAGCTCGACAAGTATAAGAGCCTTGGTTCTGTCTAAAAGAACTTCTGTTTGTTTAGCCGGACAAAGGAGCCAATTCTTTTACAAAGTTGTCCCCAAAGAGAAAACCGTTTGCCTGTGTTAGCTGGCTCGTTTAGAGACATAGTTAAACGTTTGGGCTCAATCTTGAGCAAGATTGATTTGTGGCGTTCTGTGACAACCGCATTGTTGGCGTTGCCAACTTAAATCACTCTCTGGATCTAACCACTTAAGATGGCGCAATCTAATTCTAGATCATCCTCTACTGCCTCAAAGATTTTGGCTGCTGAGCCAAAGATGCCCATGATTTTATCCCGACAGTTTTGCAATGAAAATCTAAGCCTTTAGATGGCTTCCATCCTGTCTTACTCAGGAATTGAATGATCTTAGGATCGACAGATAGCGTTTTACATGAGTCATCAGGGACTGTTTGGAGTGGCCATTCAGCCCGCAATTTATTTCACTTTGCCTTCTCAAAAGGCTTGCGTACTGTGGATGCAATATTTGGCTACATGGTCTGAGGAGACCACTGGTTGACATAGGTCGTCAGGTTCGAATAGGGGTTCACATTGAGTGTCCAAGATCCTATCGGTGTCCCTGAGACCACATAATCTACCTAAATCTTGGTAGGTTTAACAGGACGTGTATCCCAAACGGGATTAGCATCCTCTTCATCAGTAATTTCATAATCAGGATCAGAAATATCCTCTGAATCATCCATATAGGACTCAGGGAACTCCTCCTCAATATCACTGAGCTCAGATTCAGAGTTCAGTTGCGCTTTTGCCCTTTTCCAAAGTCTAGTTGATTTTGCCCGACTAGTAGCTCTTTTGCGCGGTGGTAAATTAATCGCGCCATCCATGACAGGTATGGAACTGTACATCTCTATTGTTTTGGAGGAGTGTTTAGCCTTACATGAGGCCTTGTGGCCAGGCTGAAGCAGAGCAGGTGTAAGTACAGATACACCTCCATATAGTACTCAGGGAACTCCTCCTCAATATACCTGAGCTCAGATTTAGAGTTCAATTGGGCTTTTGCCCTTTTTCAAAGTCTAGTCGATTTTGCCCGACTAGTAGCTCTTTTGCGTGGTGGTAAATTAATAGTGCCATCCGTGACAGATGGCTGTTGTTTTGGAGGAGTGTTTAGCCTTACATGAGGCGTGGCGGTCAGGCTGAAGCAGAGCAGGTGTGAGTACAGGTACACCTCCATATAGAACTCGGGGAACTCCTCCTCAATATCACTGAGTTCGGATTCAGAGTTCAATTGGGCTTTTGCCTTTTTCCAAAGTCTAGTCAATTTTGCCCGACTAGTAGCTCTTTTGCGCGGTGGTAAATTAATCGCGCCATCCATGACAGGTATGGTACTGTCTATCTCTATTGTTTTGGAGGAGTGTTTAGCCTTATATGAGGCATTGCGGCCTGACACCAGGGCCTTGTCCTTGCTTTTGCCATGGAAGTGTCAATTAAAGCCTGCATGTCAGCAGGATCAGTAAAGCAGAAATTCAGCCTCATCTCAAGAGATACCTGGAGAGGCTTCTACATTAATCTGCATGTTTGCAGTAGACCCAGAAGGCACAGAAAGATCCCGTCAGACTGCATCATAAATTTACAAACAAACCTAAGAGGATGAGTAAAGTAAAATAATACCAAAAGGAAAGGGTTGAGTAACCCTCAAGTAAAAAATAAATAAATAACTAAACAGGATAAAGAAATGAAAGTACTCACAATAGTGAAAATATAGCAATTGTAATATAAAAACACAGGAGCTGCCACTACAAATAAACCCCAACTTGGATTTCTAGCAGTTGGTGGCAGAGAAGCAGCCAGACAGATAAATGAAGGGAAAAAACAGCACAATGGCACTATTCAGGAGATAAAGATCCTCAAAGATGTCCCTGAGCCCCAATTGATGGTTGTGACGAAGTGCCCTTCGCCACTTGTGCCTGGAGAGGACTGCTTGCCCGCCTTCTGCCCTGTGACTATGGACCCTGGGAGATTTGGCCCGTTCAATTCAGTATGATAGGAGTTATGTATTTTTGTATCCCTTTGTGTTTTACTAGGAACATGTGCTCAATGGAGTCTGCTTCTATCCCTGGATAATTGGATTACTTTCCCCATTGTCTCCAGGCTAGAGGGCTCTGTAAAACCAGTTTGGGCCAGATAGCCATGCTGCCAGCCAGGCCCCAAAAGATACTTTACTAACTTCTGAACCCCTGGTCTGATTCATGCCATTTTTTGATATGTTGTTTCCCTGAATGGATTGATTGTGAATATATAATATATATATTATATATATATAATTTTTATGTGAATGTGATGTATATTTTAGAAGTTATGAATGCTGTAAAAACTGTATTATTTCTGGCCAGCATATAATTGAACTTTGTGTATTGTAGAAACTCAATTATCTAGCCTGGCCCAGAGGAGGAGTTTTGTGTTGCATAAATTGTGAGTTCTGTGTGCCAGTAAATTAGTCTTGTTCCAGCATCAAGCCTTGGCTCATGTTTGGGGGATTGGAGAAATACTCCCCAGAGTATGATCGCTAAGTTCTGCTAAGAGCTTGTTCCTGTTCCTGCTCTCTGGGGATAGAGAGGTTCACCCACTGGAAGCTGGATCCTGGCCTTGGGTCCAGGGTGGGTGGAGACAGCAGAGACCCCGGCGCAGTTGCATCGCTGGAAGTGGGGTCTGCAGTGCTGATGGTGTCGGTTGGAGTCCTCAGCGAGCACTAGGAGCATTGATTGGTGGAGGTACTCAGTCGGAGTGCCAGCGGTCCGTCACAATGGTAATCTTGGGGCCAGGGAGGTCAGAGGGGAAAGAAATTATCAAAGGATATACAATAAAGCATATAACTGAAGCAAATGAAGTAAATAAATCAAATTAAGTTAAAATGAAGTAACTAAATATATTTATAAACATGAAAATATCATAATTAAAATGTAATAACTATAATAACTATATTAACCACAGTAATGATATGAATAAAGTAAAGTAAAAGATCCCACAGTTAAGAACCATGGGACCCAGTGTCACTTAACTGAGTGAGCAGCAAAGAAAGAGGAAGTACTATAATGGACACCACCCATTATGCTATAAAGAGGATGCTGATTGGCTGTTCCTGTTGCTAGGAAGATATACCTCATGTTATTTACTGGTTTCTTTTATACTGATTTAATGTTATTTTTCTTTGCTGCTGAGGTAAATAAAGAAAGAGTGCAGCATAATAGGAGCCTCCGTGTCTTAATAAAATTCATTCATATGGAATAACGCAGAACATAGATTATAACTACCTCTAGTTTACATATCTCAGCCCTCTGGTGTATGCATGGAAAGTGGATCAGCAGGTAGGATGTGGTGACTTACATGTCAACATTATTATTGAGTTAATTTGAGGTTTAAAAGAGAATATTTTGAAATTAAGAATGTGGGACTTACCCATGAACAGCTTGAAGCATTGACATTAACTCATGTAGGCAGCCAAACTGCTCTTTAAATTACATGACATGACAAATAAACATTTATTTTAGCTGACCACCTACACAGATAAAAAAAAACACACAAAAAAACATTTAAAAGAAATTGTTTATTTATAATTGGAGAAGGTATGAAATAAAGACAGGGATTTTAGAGAAGAAAGAAATTCACATTCTGCAAATTTCTGATTCTTCTGAACAGGCTAAATTCTTTATTCCTCGCTTTCTCCTTTCTGTAAGAAGAAAAGAAAATATGATTTAGTTTCCGCATACGTTAAAATGTTCATTTTCTTAAGTAGGATAGAATCACAGTATTCGTTGGTTTTTATCTCTGTATTATCCCACCTTGCTGCTGATATCGCGACTTTTTGCCCTCAGCTTATTCACTTGAGATTCTGCAATGTCTGCTCTCTCCTCTGCCTCTTCCAGCTCATGCTGAACCTTTCTAAAGCGGGTGAGGTGTGTGTTGGCCTGTTCCTCCTAGAGGTATCATGGTAAAGAAAAATAAAATTCAGCTCTGTGAACTCATCACTATAGCTCAGACCATGAACTGTATTATATTATAAACCCATGTCTATAAATCACAAGCTTCATTTCTTTTGGCTCTCTTATTTTGAACTCACCGACTCCTCAGCCTGTCTCTTGTAGGCCTTAACTTTCAGCTGGAGCTTGTCCACCAGATCCTGCAGTCTTAGGACATTCTTTCTGTCTTCTTCAGTCTAAAAAAGGGAGAAGGACAATATATTAGCAGCGGTGAAGCAAGTATTGTTCGGCTTTATCATTTCTACATGGACAACAATGTTACGTGACCTGTAATTTATCACACACTCAATCTTAATTTGATTGTGGGTTTCTATGTCCTTTTTTTAATTCAAAATGCAATGTTGGGTTTTGCCACACAATAAAATGTGAGATTTCTCTATTAAAATGTTGAGGGCATTTGGTGGGTGTTTAGTTATGTAAGGATTGTAGTTCACCTGGTAAGTCAGTTCCTTCAGTCTCCTTTCGTATTTGCGCACGCCCTTCACTGCCTCTGCACCACGCTTCTGTTCATTATCTAATTCATTCTCCAGTTCACGGACCTGTAAATGTCATGTTTATGTTAACATGGCAAGTACTCACTTTTAAACTAATTTTAATGAATTAGTAGTACCCTTTACTATGTACCCTTGCTTCCAGTTTCTGGAGCTGCTTCTTGCCTCCTTTCATGGCCAGCTGCTCAGCTTCATCCAAACGAAGCTGAAGGTCCTTCACTGTCTGTTCAAGATTCTTCTTCATTCTCTCTAAGTGTGCACTTGTGTCCTGCTCTTTCTTCAGTTCCTCAGCCATTAAAGCAGCCTTTGAGAGTATATAAAAAATCCTTAGTTAAAATAAACACTTTGAGGAACGTCTGTACAAAAACAGGACAACACTTACATCAGTGATGGCTTTCTTGGCTTTCTCTTCTGCATTCCTGGCTTCTTGAACTGCTTCCTCGACTTCATTCTGAAGCTGGGATGCGTCACTCTCCAGCTTCTTCTTTGTGCTTAGGAGACTTGTATTCTAAAGTGGAAAAGAGAATTTAGAATTACTTGCTTTGTAACACAGGATACAGCACTGAGATCTCTTCTCTTTATTGAATGGTCCTACCTGGGTGTGAAGAAGCTGGACTCTTTCACTGGCATCCAGAAGTTCCTGCTCAGCAATCTTTCTAGATCTCTCAGTCTGTTCTAGGGCAGATCTTATCTCCTCAATTTCGGCCTGTTGTAGGTTATTCCTGCGCTCCACCACAGCAAGTTGCTCTTTCATGTCCTCCTGACCTCTGAGAGCATCATCCAAGTGGAGCTGGGTATCCTAGTATGCCAATGTATAGAACAAGTTAGTTTTACAGTTATCTCAAACATTCATTTTATTGCACTCGTGAGAGAGAGTGGCCTGTCATAATGATGTCATTGTGCCACTAATACCTTACAATGCTTCCTTCACCCAGGGCTTTGTGCCCCAAGGACATTTTATGTATCACAGTTTCCATTTATGTAGAAATTTCGCCTGGTTGGAGTGTCATGGACTCTGCCGGGTTTGTAGTGGCCATTTTAAGGTTTTAAGGCTTGGCTAGTGTAGGGCTAGACATTTTAAGCCCTGTCTTAAAAAAACAAGCAGGAGAAACCGAATCATTTATAGACCGATAGAAAGTTTGTAAGCTGAGAAAATAATGGGAATATGTCTGCAGGCTGAACAATTACACAATTCTGTATGATGTGATATGTTCTTTTACTACTTTGTCATTTTATATACCTTTCTATGACTGTTTTTACATTGCTATTTGTATTACACCTTTAGCACACTGGTCTCGGTGACAATCTATTGAATGACTTTTAGAGTTTGCCATACCTTCAGCTGTGCCTGGACATTTCGGAGCTGTTTCTGCGCCTCCGCAGCTTGGCGGTTGGCGTGACTCAGCTGGATTTCCAGTTCATTCAGATCTCCCTCCATCTTTTTCTTTAGTCTGAGAGCATCATTACGGCTTCTGATTTCAGAGTCCAGCGTACTCTGCATAGTATCAATGATTCTCTGACTGTTCCGCTTCAGCTGCTCAATCTCTTCATCTTTCTCTGCAATTTTCCTGTCTACCTCCGATTTCACCTGGTTCAGTTCAAGCTGAATACGCAGGATCTTTGCTTCTTCGTGCTCCAGAGATCCCTAGTTAAGGCAAAAATAACTCATACTTTAAAAATGAAAACAAGTTGTATGTTTTTTTTTCACCCAATGAAGGATCTCTCTGTACCTCCGCTTCCTCCAAGGCTGCTTGCAGATCGTTCTTTTCCTGTTCTACAACCTTCTTGGCTTTTTCCAGCTCATTGATAGATTTTGCAGATTCACCAATTTGTTCAGTCAGATCTGAGATCTCCTCTGTGTAGGAAAT